GCTTCACCCCAGCCGCAGAGCCGGGCGGCAAAAATTTTAATCAAAAACCCCCCCCCCCCCCAATGGTGTCCTGCTTAACCAATTTTAAAATCTGGTCACTTTAGTGCAATGTTGCCTTTGAAAATAAGGTATAAAATAGTTCAGCTGAGACTCAGCAGATATTAACTAGAGTAATGAGGGTATATTTTAATATTTATTTCCTGCTACATAAATGTAATAAAATAAAAATAGCTCTGGCTGCAGACCAAAAAGCAGCATTGCCCACCCTATCAACTCAGCCAAGAAACCAACATGCCACCTGGTTCCTCTTTTTCTGAAATGGTCACCTACCAGCGTATAAAATTGCAGCTTTCTTTCCAAACTCATTATCATAAAAAAGTTTCATTTAAACAATTGTTTCATCTTCTTGTTCTTTTACTTCTTAAAACTCTTTATATTTTGTGTTAAACAGATATAATATAGATATTTGTTTAATCTGTATATCCATTTAGTAAATTTAATGAACTTTGGGGTAAATATGATGACACACCACCCCTTGCTTCCTAGTAATCTGATGGAGAATATCTGAATGGTTTGTTAACCAGCATGAAAGATCCCTCCCTCCCTCCCTCCCTCCCTCCAATTAATATATACACCTTTCTGTGTTGGCAGCACATGGCACAGAATAAGTAATTTGGCCATGCAATACACATTTTTTTAAACCAGGGTTCTCCAACCTTGGCAACTTTAAGATTTGTGGACTTCAATGCCCAAACCTCCTCAGCCAGACATGCTGAGGAAACCCCTGCTTTAAACCACTCAGATGCTGCAGAGGCGACTGGAAAACTATCACTTTCCTCCCAACCCCCTTCCTTGCAGGTGAAAAAAGTAATTAGAAATCAATGATTGTGTACTTAGGGTTGGGGCCACTGCAGGTCTGTTTGGTGCTGAAGATCAGAAAGTTGGCAGTTCTGTCCGAATTTTATGCTCAAAATCTCTTATGCCCCTTCTTCCCTCCTTTTGTAAGACTTCTGAAGAAGGTTAGCTTTTTTCAAACCAATACTATACAGATAGTTTTGTATCCCAGGTTGAGTAAAGCAACTGGATGGAAAATAATTCAGAATATATTGATCCATTCTAAACCAGAAGTAGGAATCTATACCTGATCCAAAATATGTGAATTTGGAATTTCGTTTTTCAGTTTCCACGCAACACGAACATTGGATTCTGGATCATCAAACTTGGTGCAGGGAGTTCTTATTATTTCAACCCCAAGTGCTCTCAGAACATCTACCTAGAAGGATGATATAGAAACCATAAATTAAATTAATTATCTGCACTGTATTAGTTAATATAAACTGAGATAAACATATAAATGCTTTATATAAATAAATGAAGTAGTCCAGCTCACAAAATATTTATTTATTCAATTTTGATACTATCCAAATCCAATTGACTCCCGGTGGTTCAGAATATTTTTTAAAAGTTAATTAAAAACAAGTGGAACACACAGCATGACTTAATAATATGACTGCTTATCTGTGGCCATTAAAAACCAGAAAATTAACATTTATGCTGGCTTATTGCCTATTTGATCTGAGCTAAGACTCACTAGACTTGGTGTGGTATATCCCAGGGAAGAGTGAACAGGAAAACAGTTGCAGATTGTCCACACAAAGGAATATGTACATAGTTTTGCTTCCATGATTGAAATTTTAAAACAACCACACGTATATGCACCTTTAGCTGAACAAAAAGGTTGTCTGATATTCTGTATATGCCATGCACATGCATAACTAAGTTGACAATTCTTCTTTCACAAAGGTTGGGACAAAACTAAGCACATTACTAAAATTAAGACCTTAGAGTTTATTGTCGCTATTTCTAATCAGGTACCTTTTACATGTTTAAGACAAACTCCATAATTCCTAGCAAACTATTACTTACCTCTAGTCATTCATTTGTGGATTCTTATCAGCTATTCAAATGATCCTCTACTAATAGGTATTTCCAAACCACATTATTTCCATTCCCCAAACTCTGACAAAGCAATCTGAAGTCAACCTGTGACCTTTACTTCTGCTGCCTTTGGAATTCTAAAAACATGCAGGCAACTCCACAAGCCAATCAATGCTCTTTTCCAGGGCAGAGTTCATCAACCAGGTATGATCTGACTTGTCTGAGCCACAACACATCCCGGAGCACTCAACTTCCTTCACCCCTCCTTACCCCCCATGGAAATAAAGAAAAAAAATGGCTCTTATGTAATTGCTGTAGCTTTCCATAAGAAGAATGATGAAAATTCTGTGTTCTGGGAGATTAACAAATCATCCCCACTTCATGAATTCAGTTGCCCAGGAGACAGGCTTTGTGCTAATGGGAGGAAAGTGAAGAAAAGAAAAATGACTAGACTATGAGTTTCTGCTGAGCCACTTAGATGACTCTCACCTTTTCCATACTCATTTTCTCTGGCATGACAATGACACAGCGATAACCCTTCATTGCAGCTACAAGAGCCAGTCCAATCCCTGGTGGTGAAAAGAAGAAGAAATAAGGCAAGTAGAAATTATAACTACAAGTTAATTAAACCTCCAGGTCTTCTCTCTCCTCCATTTTCTAAATGGAGCTGCTCTCAGATTTTCACTTTAAAAAAAATGGGGGAGAATGAATGTTCCTGCATATTCAGTTTGAAGATAATGGAATAGCAGAATAACAGATTTGGAAGGCCCTTGGAGGTCTTCTACTTCAATCCGCTGCTGAAGCAGGGAACGCTATACCAGAGGTGGTATTCAACCGGTTCGCACCAGTTTGCCCGAACCGGTGGCAGAAATTTTTCCCAGTTTGGTGGATTGGTAGCGATGGCCGACTGGCCATGCCCCTGAACCAATCCCTGTCACTGGTTGCTCACCCTGCCCATCTGGTCACTGCTCACTTGTGCTGCCTCTTTGCATACCAGCTTTCAAAGAGGCTGGCGGCTGGCCGCAGGCTGCTGAAAAGTCCTCTGGTTGGTGAAAAAGTGCTGCCTCGCACATGCACATCCCATTGCCTTGCAACCAGAGGACTTTGCAGTGGCCTGTGGCCAGTCTCTGGCCTCTTTGAGAGCTGGTATGCAAAAAGGCTAGGAGGCTTCTTTGCCTGCCAGCTGCCTCCTAGCAGCAGCAGCAGCTGGCTGAGGGCTGCTGAAAACCCTGGCCAGCTTGTCTTCCGGACTGAACCAGCCACTGTGGAAGATAAGCAACCAAAGAGGTGGGGTGGGGAGGAAGCAGGGAAATGGGGGCAACTAGTGAAGGGAGGGCAGGGGTAGATAAGGAAAAATCCTAAAAAAATTCCTACCTTTTCCTGTGGGCATGGCTAAGTGGGGGGCATGTGACTGAGTGGGCATGGGTGTGGCCATGAGTGATGTCTCATTGACCATGCCCACTCAGTCACATGCCCCACCCACCTAGCCATGCCCACAGGAAAAGTTAGAAAACCTTTTAGGATTTTTCCCTATCTACCCCTGCCCTCCCTTCACTAGTCACCTCTGTTTCTTTTAGTCTCTTATATAGACCATGATTTGTTGTCACCTGGGAATCTGACAAGGAATAAAATGAGCTTGTTTAGAAAATAGGCCTATTATGACCCAAATAACTGTTCCCTCTCTGCCAATTCTACTATAAAGGCCATTTGTAATAAATGTTAGATTAGATGATGTGAAAGGAAGATGTATTTGATTAATGATCAAGGTAGTTATTTTTTTGAAGTGAAAAATGAAGACAATGGCTGCAAATGATATAAATATCAAAAATAAAATAGGTGAATGAAGTTGAATGCCTTGGAAGATTGTTTACTAAAGTTTTTAAAAATGGGTAGAGACAAAGATAATGAATGCTGTGGTCATGTTGCAAGAAATATTTGCAAAAAATGGCTGCATATAAAAGCAAGTTTTTATCCTCACTTTGTCACACAGAAATGAGTTTTATGTATGTTAGTAGCATAAAAGGTGTGCACAGTAGAAATGGAATTATTTAAAAATGTGTGGCAAAGCAGGAAGAAATACATATTGAAGATTAAGAAAGAATGGGTGATGAAAAATGTGGACCAAATTCAAGAGAAAGTAGCCAGTACAAGAAAAGCGCATTAAGCAGCACTTCATAGAAAGAATGAATGAGTTCTAAATTGCAAAATGAAACATATGAAGGAAGAATGATCAGGTCAAGATTAAAAGAATGACAGGGAAAGTCATGGTTGACTGAAGCTGATGAGATTCTCAAAAAGTTCAAAGAAAAAAAGGAAGTGTATTAATTGGTGTTTGGATGGTTTCAAGAATAGAAATTTATGAAAATTTAAAGTGAACAGTATTACTTTTTTCTGTACTTTCCATCACATTAACTTTCCCTAAAAAGGGACTGAACAATAAGTATATATATATATATATATATATATATATATATATATATATATATATATATG